AGAAGGTGTCCCTGCTGATGGCAGGGGGGTTGGAACAGGATGAGCTTTCACATCCCTTCCAGCCCAGACCAGGCTGTGATTCTATGATTCTATGTAACAGCCATAGGGGCCTTTGACGTTGTTTCAAAGAAGATGAACCCTAAATTTTTTTGGAATATCTAGAACAAAGATCAAACACTCATTCAGTCTCTCCAGAGATGAAGCACAATTACTTGGAGACAATAATGATCCTTACCACTTGAAGCATCACCTAAGAACAAGTAGCTTCATTTTATGGTACCATAAATAATTAAAGGACATGCAAGTTTGGTGAGAGCTGCTGAAAAAGCAAGATCCCATAAGTCGGGCTTTGGCAGCTCTGGGAACACCCACAGGGAAATGCACCGTACCAATATGGTTGGAGCACCCAGTACACAATGACTGTATTTTATGTAGGTTCATCAGTGTGTTCTGTTCAAACCATATCTGCATTTCTCCTTTATATTTCAAACATATCACCGCAAACAAATGAATATTGCCAGAGTTGATTATAATAAAGAATCATAACAAAAAAGTGTATTTTAGCATTTTTATTACAGTTTTGGCTAACAGCAGTACATAAAACAGAATATAATCTATTTTTGTACCAAAAGCAAGTAAATTTTGCTACCAACTATAAACCTCTGCAAATTCAAAAGTATTTTGACTCCTAAAATAAAAACTGTTACAATGTTGTAACAGAAAAAAAGAATTCTGGACAGTTCAGCAAGCCACCAACCAACATCTACCTTTTGTCTCCAAGTCTTCCTTCTACCCAAGTCTTTCTTCTACCAATAGCTGAGTTTGTCTGAAACAGAATCTGAGAAAGGTAGTCTCACTTTTCATGTCTTACCATGAAAGCATTAACTGCAAGACCATCACAAGAGAAGTGAAGGGGAAATAGACCTTCAGAGACATCAGTCACCCTATGAATGATTGCCTTAAAGACTTGGGAAGAAGCAGCAGTTAGCTGTCCTAAGTATTTCAGTTAAAATGACAAGTGCCACAAACTTGTTTTTCTCTATTAAAAAAATAAAAAAAAATAAAAAACCCCAAAATAAACCACATATGAAAGTATTTCTTCTGCTAGAATTTGTAGATCAAAAATTAGTTGCCTACGAATCAAACAGAATACTTTATCCTGATCAAATATTTCAATAGATATGTGACATTTCAAAGAAAAGACATTGCCTAAAATAAATCATTCCACAGGTATTGACCAAACAGCACTAAATGCATGGACAATAAGCTTTTGTTCCCATGTTAGAAGACACGGGAAAAAAACCTATCAAACCAAAATACCCAGAGAATCCCATGTGCAGGCAGTCTCTCTTTGCATACATTTTAGATTTCACAGTTTTTCTTCAAGTACAGGTTCATAGCACTGCTGCAGCTTACCATACTCTACTGAGTTTATGGGTGAAAACACAAGCGTCCCCGAGTTGCTCTCTTTGGCAAAGCGGACAGCATCTGAAGCATGCTGTGCTCAAAACATTTAACAGAGAGATACCAGAGAAACAGCTTAAAAGTAGACAAGCGCTGCATTATCGGAAAAAAAAACCAACCCAACAAACCAAAACAAACAGAACTGTGGTAACTGAAGAACAGCATGGGACTTCACAAAGTATTAGATGACTTAAGTTTACAGTAAGTTATTTTGGTAAATTTATGATAACTGATTCACCAAAACATATCCAAAGATTTGGAAATAAATAATGTATTGTGGAGTGTTTTCTGACAATACTGCCACATAACTTTGTTTCTACACATTTGCTCGACAAAGCAACACAAGAACTTAGAAGTGCATGTTTTTCCATCTAAGTTTTATATGCAAATATTTGACAAAATGGGACGTTTTTAAAGCTTCCATGCATCTCAACATACAAAAACATCCTCATTTTCACTTTTGTCAAGGTTAGGGAAGGTCAAATGAGTTGTGCAAAACTTGGACAGTAACTGCTTTTGAGAAAACAACTGGAGCTCCCTAGCAAAGGCTACAGTGCAGGATTTTACTTCACATTTTTTGGAAGATTCAAATATAAAATAACTCATCACCAGTAGTTTCAGGCAGGTAAAAATTTCAGTTGCTTAGCAGGTTTATATTTAATTTCGCCACTTAAGTACCATTGGAAATATACATTAGCTGTAGAAATCCTATTATTTTTTTCAGAAAAATGTTTAAAAAGTTAGAAAAGTCATAGCTGCACCTGAGCTCAAAGAGGAGAAAAAAGTTGCAATTCTCTCTATTTATTAGCTGTTCAGATAACAACCAGACATGTTCTGTAGTAGAAGTCCAGCCAAGCTAAAAAACAGTCTCTTTTACTATCAGTGTTAGGGAAAGTGACTTTGGCCTGAAAGTAAAAAAGAAAAAAAAAAACGAAAAAAGAAAAAAGTTACTTATCAGAGTCATTTCTGAAGTAATACTGCTAACTCCATCTTGGAGCAAGGCCTTAAAACATAGTTTGCATTGATCCTGTCAGGCACAGATCACTTAAAAAAAAAAAAAAAAAAGAGAAGTGTGCTCATATATCTTTTATACCACAATTAACAGTTTGCAATGCCCTAAAAATTGTATTAAAATACTCATTAGGAATGATAAAATTTCTTATGCATTTGGATATAGGAAACACTCGGGCATATAAAAGTACTCTTTGGGGTTTACCTCATTTAACAGTACCAGTATTATTCAAGTTTATTTAGCTACAATAATGCCAGAAAATAGCAGGAGTGATTTGTGCTAACCTACAAGATAGTCTTAAAAATTATCTGCAGTAGAGTAAGAGATTTTAGGCAAACAATAAAGAATAATTTAACCTTTAACCTCAAGGTTAAATCTGAGGGACATAAAATACAGCGTACCTCTCAAAGAGGCATTCCCTCTTACTTCTTTTGTCAAGGCATGCTTAAATTTTGATACTTCAGAGGCCAAGGAAATCATCTGCCCTGAGCAGAGACAGAAAAAGGGCTGATGGTCTCACAGACTGACACCTGTAAACACTCCAAAAAATAGAAAATTAACCTGCAGGGATCCTTAGTGAGGTGACTACTACATGCAACTGAACAAGACATCACTGACAGCTGTTTATTTCTAAATGGAATATGAAGTTTTAACTAGCAGGGAGCTAATAAGCCACATTAAAAAAAGAAAATATTATCTAATGCTATATCAGGCTAGAAAAGTTTCAATGTCTATTTTGTATCCCTAATACAAAGGGAAATTGAAAATAAGCTCAGTATAAGAATTACTAAACAAAAACAAAGTCAATTGTGTATAATATATAAAATACCAACTGACTACATGGTATAAAATATGTATCACAAGAGTTACCACAATGCATTTCCATGTTAAACTCTAAAGCAAACTCCAGGTCACATGTTGAGCAAAAGGCATTTTTTCTGTTACACCACTGTAATTCAACTCCAGAAGCTCTCCTTTAAGTCAGGTTATGAAGCAATCTAAAAACAAGACAGAAAAGTACAATTTAAGATCAGCTATCTTCTTACAGTTAGAAACCTGAAAGAACTGCACACATTTGAAAAGTCACAATGAAACAATGATTTCATCGTGACTTTGAGAATCAGCTGTTTACACAATTTCAAAGACTCCTTTCATGATTCTTGCAAGCATATATTGTACTGACTTTCTAGAAAATTTTAAATTTTATATATATATGTGTGTGTGTGTATATATATACACACACGCACACAGTAATGCTTGGTTTGGCTCCAAGCCATTTCACTTCATGAACAACAGTTAAACCTTAAAAATTAAAATTTTGAAACCTATGCAAACTCATCTTGTAAACAATTCCTTAATATTAATCACAATAATACGCAGTTAAAAGAAAAACTCTTTAAGTGGCTATTTGAACATCTTACCAAAGACTTTATACATGGTGTCCATGAATCGCACTATCTCCTTCTCCACTTTGCATCTGCATCTGCATCTGTGCCTGCATCCTCGCAATCATCTCCTGCATGCGACGAAGCTGGAAAAGTAGCACAGAAGAATCCTTTAGCCCAGGGGTCCTCAAACTTTTTAAATAGGGGGCCAGTTCACTGTCCCTCAGACACTGTCTGGGCCAGACTATAGTTTGGAAAAAAATGAATGAATTCCTATGCACGCTGCACATATTTTATTTGTAGTAGTGCACAAAAAACAGGAAAAAGAATGCAATATTTAAAATGAAGAACAATTGTAATCAACAAAAACAAATAATATTTCAATGTGAGCTATGGGCCTGCTTTTGGCTAATGAGATGGTCAGTGTTAGGTTCCATATTTGTCACTGATAGTCGTAGCAAGTGATGCCAGTGTTCATCAGTCAGTCTGGATCTGATGGGAGATTTCAGATGTTTCATTCGGCCTCTCGGCTGCCGCAGGGGGCAGGTCGAGGACGAGGCGCTGGTTCCATCCCAGTACTGGCGGCTGCTTGGTTTCCCCCCCCAGTCCCCGGTGGGGGGGCCCAGGGAGTTCTGTATATACCGGAGGGCAGGACTGAGGACCCTGGGGGGGCCGTATCCGGCCCGCGGGCCGTAGTTTGAGGACCCCTGCTTTAGCCTAATCTCACCTCAGAATACAACTCACTGCTGCCACCACACTAGTAATTATTTATATTAAACAGGGAACACATATCTACATTATCTTTATCTGATGGGTACCAATTTCACATTATGGTGTCTTCTTCTACTGCTCTACTTCATCCATTAAGAGGCTGGAAATTTACTGACTGAAATAAGCAGGCTTTATTATTGTAATTTGGGATGAGGTTTTAAGCATCCTTAATTGAAGTCTTTGCTTCCTCTGAAGTTAAATGCATAAAAATTGTGGTACGGAAGTACTGAAAAAAACACTGACAGTTACTAAAGTTTATCACCAGAAGAAAAGCAGCTTGTCCCCCCAAAGTACACCCGTACCCATCACTAAAAAAAAATAAATAAAAATCAGGATTATTTCCCAACTCCCTTGCTAGTGTTGTCTAGGCGGAAGCAAGTATTACAAGTAAATCATCCAAGGAGACATAAGCATTATTAAAAACTGTTGAAGCTCAATTTTAGAGCACTGCAACATTTCAACACAGGGTGATCACGTAACTCAGCTACTGAGATTAATTCAGTCATGTTGCATGTACAATACTTAAATTCTTTTACTGTACCCAACTCTGACAGGTGGGAAGTCAACCTCACTACTGAAATACACATGGGTGTCTTTGCCTTTGTGCACCTATGCTTTAAACTCAAACTAAACTATTAAGCTTAGAAGGAAAAGTTAAATCTGTGAAATGCTTACACTGTTCTTTTTTTCATATTCCTTGGAACGACAACCCTTTGCATTTTTACTCTAGTTATCCTTTGGGACTTGGGTAGCCACTAAGATCTCTAGAAGAAGACTAAGCGTCTGCTTGTACTAGGGCAGACCAAAAACTGTCTAACTCGGGCTTCTCTCCAACCCTGTCTATTACAAATGATCTACCAAAAAATTCCACCTTTGTGTTTAGTGAGCACATTCATGGAGAAAGTAAAACTCTCCAGTCTCTCAGCCTTTTTGAGCTTATCCTCGTTCTTGCTATGCACAAAATTCCATGCTAATGAGTTCCACAATTTACAGACTATCTTTTTTATTTTAAATCGGTCACCTATTAATCTCACAGATTAAGTTCACTGCACTTTTTCTAGTCTTGGTCATATCCTTTTTGGGTTAGGGGGGAAATGAAAAGTGTCAGAGCTTTGCATTGGGGATTTATCACAGTGGCAGAATGAGAATTCCCGTTTCATTCGTTATTCCTGAACAATTCCTTCCATTGTTCCCCTCTTTGCTGCAGAGCTCAACTGACTTTTTCACAGTCTGCAACTGCTAACTTTAGAATCTTTACTCATGTGAGGATGGCTCTCCCTCCCCACACAACGTGCACTACATCCATTGCTGATCAGTACAATGGAGTCAGGCATTTTACCAGATTCCACTTGTTCCTGAGACTCCTCCACACCTCTTTGCATTCTGTTTTGTTACTGCACCTTGAATAACTTTATATTAGCAAATTCTGCCTTTTCCTTTACACATTACCAAGATCATATAAATCATCTGACCTAAAATAGTGATACAAGAATAAAAATTCCCCCATCATAAAAATATAGAGTTCTATCATCTTACTTCAGCTTCTTTTTCAAGCAGAATTTGGTCTTTATTTACTTCTTCATCTTCTATTTTCCTGAAATAAGATCAATATTGTTCAATAACATGCATACATTCCAGATTTTGAACTTCCAGAGAATGCTTTGTTGACAAAAACCAAGGCTCTTAGAACACATCATATATGTCAGAGTTTCATAATACAAACAAATTTCATTGAAACACATTCTCCACATAGCTGCAATTAATGTTTTTATTTTAAAATTATTTTTAAGACATCAATTTATCCCTTACTCCTTCATAAAGTTATAGCCAGAGCAAGCATAAACCATTCCAGCTATGACTTTAAAACATGACAGATGTAGTATGTAGGTATGAATAAAAACTATTTCTGAACAGTATTCGAGTACAGCAGTTTGCCTGAGCATAACTTTATCTTAACTGATTGCAATTTGAGTACCACACAGATAGAGCAAATTCAGAAATACTGCAAACGCAGACTCAATTCTTCTCTTTCACTGGTGTGATAAATCAATACAACCAAATCAAAAGCTAAGTTCAAGGTAATGCTGGACAGGATGTTAACAAAAATAAGGAAGCAAGATATAAAATAACCAGCGCTCTAAGCAATTCTGTATCTGGCAACCTGGCTACAACCAGACAGAACCTTCCTTTGATGCAGTTCTAGCCCATCTCTAACTTCATGAGCTATGTTTGCTGTCAAACATCTAAAAGGCTCATAACCAAAATCATAGAAATAACACAGCTGCTGCACATATCTAGAATCCTTCTAATTGGAGGAACTCTTTATCCTCTGCTGCACTTAAAGACTTTGAAGTTTGATTATTTTTCTAGTTAGTCACCTTTTTTTTTTTTTGCAAGGCCAAAAGATTTATTTTGTATGACATGTTACAGTATAGCATGAACACTGATTATTCCTGTCAAAATTAAGCAAGTTCTTTCAATGAGTATCTCAAACTCTTGCTTAATTGGGATGTTCCAGTTTTACACTGAGAAACCAAACTTAAAAATACTTATATGTGCTGTATTTTCAAGATTACCTACCACTCTACTAACAGATTTCTCCTATCCCATGTTGCAATGGGGAAGGTCTGCTAACAGATCTAGTCACACTAGTGCCATCAAAAGTGCAAAGTGAACAAACTAATGCTTGTTAAAAGGCTAACAGAGAAACAGATTGTCAAAAAAGCCTCTGGGCCCAAAAGCCTCTAAGAACATTAGAGAATACAGTCAACGTGCACTAATTGCTAAGCTCTGCCAGTGGGGTAAGTGCAAGTTTGGAATCAATTCACCCACAAACCACCCTCACTTACAGTAAACTTAACTACATTCTAACTTAACTACATTCTAACTACAGTAAACTTAACTACATTCTTACTACAGTAAACTTAACTACATTCTTCAGAGATGTGAAAACAGTTATACAGGTAACTTAACTAGACAAGATACAAAAACATGGTTTAGTTTCAAAAAGGAAAATACCCCAACTTAACAGCAACTTACTGTCACAGGTCCTTGGCAGAGGCAACTTTATATCCTCTAAAAATTGCTAAACATTATTTTAACTTTGGATGACCTTAGGTTACATTACTTCCAAGAGCTTTGGATAACAGGCAGTGAAACTCAGCAAAAAGTTGGGTTTTTTTGTTTTTTTTTTTAGTTTGAACTTCAGGAGACAGGATTTAAAAATCAGGGGAGAAGAGCACATCATCTTGTCTGAAGGGCAAACTGGACTTGTAGGCCAATGCTACAGGCAGAGACAAACTCCTTTTCCTGAAAACGGACTAGGCATGTGACAAAACCTAAGTCAACAGCATGATGGGAAAAGCTTTGCAAAATAGATCAAACCCACCGAAATGTGCAATTATGAAACCCTCTAGTGGTTGACGTAAGAGAAGCAACTGAAAAATCTAAACCAGGAAACATCCAGTTTTCAACAAGCACTCACAAACTCTCCTTTATAAATCCTGCTATTTTAGTTTAAAATGGGGCATTCTGCCTGTCTCTCTTACCAGGAAAGCTGTGCCCTACCCACCACAGCTCAAAATAGGGTTGAATGACATTATCCTGTGACAGCTATACAAAGAAAATTATTTATGTACACCATGTTTAAGAAAGTACTGCAGAAGGACTTGATTTTCCTCTTTTAAAGACACAGTTCAAATATTCCAGTAGTTAATTTTGAAAAAAATCCTTTTTTTTAACATATCAGCACTAAGCTAACTTGCAGATTTTTTAAGACAACATTTATCATAGACATCTGCCCTACTTATGTACCTCGAACATTCCAATCCAACTGTGTTCAAGCCTTAAAGCAAAGCAGAGTTCTAACTATCCCCTTTTAATGCCACAACTCTCTCCTCAGATTTACTTAACACTTTTTCTTACACTCAGTGTAAGCCAGTAGACTGAACTTGGTGTTGACTGGAGCTACAGAGCTGTCTGTGACCTACCAAATCCCAGCAATTAAATGGTAGGAGACACAAAGAGAGAGAAAGCCCAAAAAATAAATTCAGAAGAAACAGTGTGTAACCATAAGATGACAACCTGCCGCCTCGTTTGAGCCTCTCAGAGCGGAAGTTCTCGTAGTGAAGATCCTGGGTCACCTCCTGAAGATCTTGCATATGGGTACTGGAGGAATAAAAATAATTAAAATATACATGTGTCACATCAGCTTGCTTAACCAACGCTCATGTTCAGTACTGTATTGGGTCAATGTGTTCAGCCCACACCAACTTATCATGCTAATTTAAAAGCTAATTTAAGTAGATTGGTGCAACAAAAGACACACAAAGACATCTCAGACTCTGAGGCAGCCCTGATATAAACTAGGTGAGGTGTTTGATGAAGCAGTGCTGGGTAGGGGAAGCAGAGCAGCAAAGCCTGAAAAAACAATCAACCAGTGGAGTTTTGAAGTCTACTCCTTCACAGATATAAGTCTACATATAGATATATTTAAATAAACACAAGGTGTGAAGCAACCTGGTTTATGTTCATGGGGAGCTGAATAGCAATACAACACTCTGTTCAACAAAAGAATTAGACAAAAGGTTATTTTCACAGAACCTTTCCAATTGAGATTGGAAAGAACCTATGGAGCTTGTGTAGTCCAATCACAGAATCATAGAATCACAGAATGGTCTGGGTTGGAAGGGACCTTAAAGCTCATAACCAGTTCCAACCCCACTGCCATCAGCAGGGACACCTTCCACTAGACCAGGTTGCTCAAAGCCTCATCCAACCTGGCCTTCAACACTTCCAGGGAGGAGCAGCCACAGGTTCTCTGGGCAACCTGGGCCAGTGTCTCACCACCCTCACAGCAAACAATTTCTTCTCAGATCTCATCTCAATCTACTCTTATCCAGTTTATATCTAGGCCTAAGCCAGCTAGGTCAAGGTTGCTCATGGCCTTCTCCAGACAAATTCTGAATGTCTCCAAGGATTCTACAGCCACTCCAAACCCCTAGTACAGTGTTTGATTACCTTCCTGGTAATTGTTTTTTTAAACTGTCATTTAACTGGAATTTTCTAACTTACATTAACATGGTCCTCAGCTTCAGGAAGTCATTATGTTCCGGATTCTCCACTTCAACTACACCCCATGGATAGAGCCGACCTCTAACTTTTTTACCTTTGGCTTCAATGAGTTGATTGGATCCCACTACACAAAATGGAATGCTGGCCTGAAAGCCAAAAATGCAAAAATTACTAATAATGAAACAGATCAAACAACTCCCAAGAACAACTCTTCTGCTCAGCACTGCATATTATTGTAATAAGTTTGTAATGCTTAAATCTGAAGATGTAAAAAGAAAAGTAATTGTTACCACCACCCTCCAGACAGGGAAGCCTGGGCACAGAGACACAGTGACTCACTCAAGGTCTCATTGCAGGTCACAGATGTATCTTGTTCTGAAGTCATCTGAGCAGGCCAAAAAGATACAGTATATTATCCACATATGTAACCTGTGAAGCCAGCCATACCTTCAGGAGTCTGGTCTGCTCTTTAAAATCTTCATCTTCATCTGATTCAGCATCAGGCAGGTGATAAATCTTGATGCCATGCTCTTCTATTTCATCCAGAATCTGAGATTTATGATATGAGAAATTGAGATAATACACATGTATAGTCAGCACTTTTAAATCTTAAGGTAAAATTACTCAGTCTTGTGAGAAATTTGGGCCTCTCTTACTGATCCAGATTACTTGGCAAGTATTTAGTTTTAAATACCATATTTCTTCATGATATTCAACAACTACTCGCCTCAGACTTTCAGACAAACGTGTTCAAATAAACATTGTTCTTTGTGTATTACACGTAAGAAATTGAGCTTTTTTAAAACCTTTGCAATGTTTTTTAATTACAAAGCATTGACTCAGATGTCATAATTGCTTTGAACAGCCCAAGACTCCTTGCTCTTGCCTCTGAATTACTATTTGGGGGTTAGGGGTGGGAGTGTTTAAAATCCTAACTGAGCAACAGGCACGATAAATACTTTCAAATACTTTTTTCTGTCTTCATGACTGCTCAGAATATCATCTGCAGCTGGAATTCATTTGACATAAACCCAATTTTTGCTCTTTAAAAAAAAAAAATAATTTCTGCAGAATTCCAATACATATATCAAACTAAAGTATACTTCTCTAATTTTATTAGAAGTTGGGTAAGATAACTATAAGGATTTTCAGAATAACTGAAAAAAATCATAGATAAAGTTTTAAATATAACAGCTAGGATTGGATCAACTATGCCTTCTGGCAAGTTAATTCTAGTACTTCTTTCTAAATTTCATAGTTGTAATTAACTCATGATGGTTTGTCACATTTTTCTCCCCTCAGGAAATACAACATCAATTCACAAGACTGAATGTGTTAAGAAGTCTTGCTTATGGAAGAAAGAACTGGAAAGTATTAGAAGAGAGTGACACAGGGGAAGAAAAATAACCCCAAAATCAGAAAAATCTCTGAAAATACTATTTTTCAATAATCAGAATTCTGACTGGGTAAAAAAATACATGCACATTATAGATGTAGATACTGTCTCTGCTTTGGGACTGATTAAACAGGTTAAGGGAGCAATTACCATTAGCAAATGCATGTAAATATTTTTCCATAGTTTGAAAATTCACTCATAGCCTAATTGTAAATGCAGCCAATCTGCCATTTTGCAGGCAACATGTTAAGGACAATTTCTCAGTTAAATACATAATAAAAGAATTTACAAGATATCAAACTACATATTAAATAATGTTACACTGTGCATGAGATTGTATTTTTCTTGGCTAGGACAGAGTAAGGTTGAATGAGAACGCCCCCCTCTTCAGTGACCATGCAACTATTACATTTTTTGGCAAGCTAGAAAAATACTCACCCTTTTCTTTAGTCTTTCTCGCTCTTTCAGAGAAAGTGTATCAGCTTTTGCAATCACTGGTACAATATTTACTTTGTTGTGTATGGCCTTCATAAACTCAACATCCAGAGGCTTAAGGCTAAAATTAAAACACAGAAAAATTTTAATCGCAATTATTCCAAGGCTTAAGGATAAGCTTAAAATATGGAAAAACTTTAGTTTATTTTGAATCTAAATTATCAATTTATTTTCACACCAATACAGGTCTCTCTCATTACACAAAGAACACATCCAATTAATTCCAGCTGTTCTAGTACTTCCTTAAGTAATGGCAATCTGATTCCAAAAATTTAAGTCAACAGGCACAAACCAACTCCCTGAAGAAAAATAAAAAAAAAGAGAGGGAAACACCTACCCATGACCAAACGGTGAAATGAAATAGAAGCAGCAATGAACCCGATTATCTATGATGTGTCTTCTGTTCAACCCACTCTCATCATGCAGGTATCGCTCGAACTGCTCATCAATGTAAGAGATTATGGTTTTAAAACTGCAAAACAAATATGGATTGAAGAAATCATGCTTATTCCCACAAGGTCAATAATTTTAGTGACGTTTTAAAGACAACATTAAAACACCAAGGCATACTGCTGATGAACCAACCTGCTGATAGATGAAAATTAATTTACTGGTGCTGTAAGTCTGTAAGAATAGAAGGGCACCAATCTTAAATTTGTACTTGAATTCCAGAATAACAAACTACTATGTGTATTTTTTTTTTTACATTAAGATAAAATATACATACATGTAACACACAACTTCTACAGCAAATTTCTCTTGGGTTGGTATTTACCTTTTGACCAGTATTAATTGCACATGGTCAAGACAATCTAAGCTGTTTCTTCCAAACTGACCATAGAATGATTTGTGTTGGAAGGGACCTTTAAAGATCACCTAGTCCAACTCCCCTGCCATGGGCAGGTACATCTTTCAGTAGGTCAGGTTGCTCAAAACCCTGTCCCACCTGACCATAAGCATTTCCAGTGATGGGGCATCTACAACTTCTCTGGGCAACCTGTGCCAGTCTCTCACCACAGTCACTGTAAAAAAACTTCTTCCTTATGTCCAACCTAAACCTACTCTCTTTCAGTTTAAAACAGTTACCCCTTGCCCTGTCTCTCTATCTTTCTCACACATTGAAAGGCTTTAGGAAGCTCTCCCTGGAGCCTTCTCTTCTTTAGGCTGAACAACACTCTCAGCCTTTCTTCACTGCTGTTCCAGCCCTTGGAATCATTTTTGTGGCCTCCTCTGGACCTGCTCTAACAGGTCCATGTGCTGGGGGCTGCAGAGCTGGATGCAGGTCTCACAAGAGCAGTGAAAAAGGGAAGAATCATCTTCCTCAACCTGCTGGCCACACTTCTTTTGATGCAGCACAGGATACAAACAGCTTTCCAGGACAGAAGCACACACTGCTGGCTCATATCCAATTCTTCATCCACCAGTATCTCCAGATTCTTCTCTGCAGGGCTGCTCTCAGCCCGTTCAATCTCCCAGTCTGTATTGATATTGAGGATTTCCCCAAACCATGTGCAGGAGCTTGCACTTGGCCTTGTTGAACTTCATGAAATTGGCAAGGGTCCACTCCTCAAGCCTATCAAGTTCCCCCCGCGTGGCATTCCCTTCCCTCTACTGAATCAACTGCACCACTCAGCTTGGTGTTATCTGCAAACTTGCTGAGGGTGGACTCAATACCACTATGTCATTGATTAAGTTATTAAACAGTATTGGTCCCAGTACAGACCCTTGAAGGATACCACTCATTACTGGTTTTCACTTAGACTTTGAGACATTGACTGTAACTCTTTGGACACGGCCATCCAGCCAATTCCTTATCCACCTAACAGTCCATCCATCAAACCGGTATCTCTCTAATATAGAGGCAAGAATTTTATGGGGGACCACATGAAAGGCCTTACACAAGTCTAGGCAGATGACATCAGTAGCTCTTCCTTTATGCACTCCATTGCAGAAGGCCATTAGTGAGGCACGGTTTGCCCTTGGTAAAGCAATATTGGCTGCGTCTAATCACCTCCCTGTCTTCCATATGTTTCAATATATCTTCAAGGAGGATCTGTTCCATCATGTTACTGGATATGGAGGTGAGGCTGACTGGTCAGTAGTTCTCAGGGTTTTCCTTTTTACCCTTTTTAAAAATGAGCATGATGTTTCTCTTTTTCCAGTCACTGGGGACTTTGCCTGACTGCCATGACTTTTGAAATATGATGAAGAGTGGCTCGGGAACTACATATGCCATAAATAACCTGACAAGATGAGATGCATCTTGTTGGTTCCCATGGACTTACATACGTTCCTCAGGTGGTCTCGAACCTGATCTTCACTTACAATGGGAGGGACTTCATTTCCCCATTCCCTGCACTGAGGTTCAGGGTCTTGAGAGATGTGGGAAGAGGGATTACTACTGAAAATTAATTGTCATTGACCTCAAGATTATTTCTCAGTACTTATTATAATGTAAATTTATCAAAAAACCCCAAACAATCAAATTCAAAGATGATGAAAATGCACTTAAAATAAAGCACAGAATCTGAGAATGCTCAAATGAATGTGGACAAGATCTAAAAATGGACTTTTACTTGCACTAAAGACTAGATGAATTACTTTCTCAGAGTATTGTTGAATTTCTTGTGTCCCAGTGGTTCCACTTCTGATTTAAAAAAAGTTAAGGTCACTGTCACTTAAAACTCTTCCAAACTCACAAATGTTAACTAAAAAAACCAATAAAACAAAAAACCAAAAACATTTGTGTCACAAAATTTATTTCAAGTTATTTGTAAGTTATTGATGACTCTTTACACGTATCTGAATGAACTCATAACACTTAAATTAAGCTTCCTCAAAATTAGAAAACATCTCTCCAAAAATCACACCTCAAATTCAGGACTTTGTATAATGCATCAAAAAAAGGACAGATAATGACTTAACAGTATAATTTGGAATAGAAATGTTTGTTTAAACATTAGGGTTGCCACTTGGGCCATCCTACTTTGAACTGCATATTATTATCAATACAGTCCCCTATTACTTGTTCCCCTTTCCTTCCCCCACCCCAGGAAAAATACAAAATGGATGTTAGTCTTCATACTTTCATCAATACACATTCTGTGTACATACCAGTCTCGACAATTGATAGCATCCCCATATCCTGGTGTATCTACAACCGTCAGACGTAGTTTCACACCCCTCTCTTCAATTTCAACTGTTGAGGCTTCAATCTGCACTGTGCGTTCAATCTTCTCTAAAAGACAATAAACTTCATCTTTCAGAACAGAATTTGTAAGACTATGTCATTTTGACATAAGCTCAAAAGATTAATTGGCAGATGCAACCGTATAAACATTATTCCATGGATTACCTTCTAAGGTCTAATAACTTAATAGCAAGACTCAGTACTTAAATTCTTCAGATTTTGTTAGAAAATTATTTAAGATTTCAAACTATTCTTAAATATAACATAGAAACTAAGGCAAAAGGGACTGAGAAAAAACTGTAGGTAATCAGAAATTTGGAGAACAATACTAAATTATACATAATAGATTTTTTTTCTGAGGTTGAAAGTGATAAGTAATTGTCAGGTAACATGATAAATTATTAAAGCAAGTCATTTAACAAGTAGCAAAGATGGGTAAAAACCAGTAACAACTTCTATATTCTTACAATATTCTCTTTTGTGGTATTATTATATGTCTTGGTTAACAGAATAAAAAAGGGCCAAGGGAATGAAGAAGAAAAATAGGTGAAGTTCACATTCACTAAATATCAACCCAAAATAAAGGAATTAAGTTGCAAGTCCAAAGAGGCATAAACAATACATATGTTTAGAATTGCAATAGATCAAAAATGAAAGAAAGTTTCTGATTGTTTTAGTTGATTGTTTATCTTACTGTGAGGATGACTTTTTTAAAGCAAAAGAAGGGATCACCTTTCAGGGTGCCCATAGGGTTACAGATGAGGACTAAACAACAAAGATCCCATATACATCCTGGGTACAGAAGGAATCAATTCTATCCAACAGCTCAAGTATAAGGAAATACCTCAGAAATTATTACAGCTGGAAATCACTACTGGCTGTTACTAAAAGCCAAAGATAAAAAGAATTCAATTCCAAAAATCATTGAGAACAAAGAAACTAAAACAAAGGTGTGTTTACCAGCAGCTCCTGGGATTATCCTTTCTGGGTAGAGATCTGTTAAGAAGAGGCTGTTTATTAATGTAGATTTTCCCAATCCAGATTCACCTGTGATTCAATATAAAGAGAAATTCAACATATCAACATAAATAATCTCAACTATATCCAAATAGTTTAAACTGACTCTGCATTTTTTTTCATGTTAAATGTAAATCTTTTCATTTAAAAATTTCTATCTTATAACTTTGTGTTTTGCACAAGAAGGTTGAATAACAATTTTTACATCTCAGCTTTATAATACACTTTCTCAAAGCTGTCACTGACGAGCTGTAATTAAATCTGCTAGTCAAGTGGAGCTCTGATCAATCTAGGCATAAGATTTCCCATTTCATGTTTACTGATTTTTTTAAGGCTTTTCTGCTGTCACTCCAGAATGTGATACACAGTGAGAAGCTAGAGCCTGCCTAGGCTATATCATCAATTTAAACAACGAAAAAAGCACTGCTGAACTGCACAGCCAGCAATCATAAAATGTGATTTATTTCTGCTTTTTCTGCTAATAAAGCAAACAAGAACCTAAGGGAAGAGGAATATGACGTGGCCACTCAGCATACACACAGCAATTTTTTTTCACTGATGAAACTGAGGATTACCAAACTGTACCACAAATATATTTTTGTTCTCAGGCTACTGACTGAGCCATGAGCAAAGTTCAAAAGCCAACTAATTAGCTAAAGATCTTAATTAGAAATGTTCACAGCATAAAAAAAAGACCAGCAACTCCAAGTGCTCGGTACTGAAAAATTCACTGAACAAATCCTTTTCAGGAATTCTGGTTTTATTTCAGGTGTTGATAGAATTAATTAAAAAAAAAACAGATGTTAAAAGTGATGGGCCTCATGATCCCTCTGAGTAACACAGACTGTTCTGCCGTAGGACTCTGACAAAAATATCGGAACAGAAGAAAAAAGAGATGGAATTATTTGTTAAATAAAAATGTGACTAGGAGCTGCCTGTTTTTAATGCCTTACAGAATGCATCTCTCAAGATCAGATTTTGTCAGTGCAGCCTTCACCAGTGAAAGTGTAACTCAACAGTCACATGGCATCTTTTCACCAAAACAAAACAATAAAATATACAATTTTAACCAGTGGCACATTCCATACTTTCATACTTTCAGTCTGGGTAAATATTACATGTATAACAAATCAGTTTTCAGAATCTCTATCAAGGATTAATGAAAAGAGTAGTTATTCTAATTACTGGCCACAGTAGTTAAGAGTTTAGTGACTCTCAAGTGAAATAACTATTTAGATGAAGTCATAGCTTAATAATGAGAATGAACAGGAAATTCTTAACAAATACAAGTGGTTAGGATTTCTTCAGAAGCAACACAGTCAAGCAGCCAAATTGTTACAAACCCCAGTGCATATTTTCACAAACCACAATAAACAAGAGCAGAAAAAACAATGTGAAAAATCATTTATTAGGACTCTGTCAGTGCAGACAGCTTTTAAAGAAACATTCTCCTGCTCAGACATTAAGAAGCATGGCAACTTAATGAATGAAGAATACTAATTGTGATATAGCCCACAAGAGAACATACTTAAACCCTATGCATATTTCAAGAGAAAGAATTCACATTCCAAACTGTTGAAATAATCAACAATTTAAAGCACAGTTTATATTATCTTACATTGACTGCCTCCCTCTGCTAGTGTGTTTTAAAATACCATTCCAAATTTTCAATGAAATTACTATTCTCCAAGTTCTCTTCCTGTAGCTTTCATTTATCCCTTAAAATACTGGCAGGCAATGATTGTAAAGTTAAATTTTACTCCAAGACATAGGTGGGGTTAATTGTCTTTCTGTTTCTCTGACACCATGTCATTTCCCCCGTATATTCTATTTTACAAGAGGCTAGAAACAATTGTTTGGTCTATATAATTTTACATGGCTTTCTGCCAGAACCATTTCACACAGCACTATTTGCAATAAATCTCAAAGAGATCTGGAAATTAAGCGTAGCTGCAGCAAAGAAAGCATATCTTTTGTTTCTCAGAACTGTATGATCACTGAACAGTAAATTCTGAAGAGTTACAGTAGATACCATAATGTGAAACATCTGCTTATAGTTTGGCTTTACTCTTCAATTCTATAAAATAGCCATTATGACATTGTCCTAAGCAAATCCAATGAAAGCTACAGTAAACAACTAGGATAAAATTCTAGGAAAACAAAAATAAGGGCCAACTCTGTCTGACACTAAACTACAAAAGACAGAAGAGAGGATAAAAGCAATGCTAGGGTTGTCATTTGGCCAAACTAATGAAAGGTTTGAGGATAGACTCTTTGTGTAAGTACTGGAATGCAAAACAATTAAGAACTTAAACACCTCCTATCATGTGCCATCTCACCTCTCCTGCTCATTTCCACTGTGATCTCTCCTGGACAAATCTAACACACAAATGGAATTTACTTCATGTGACGCCAGTTAATAAAGAACCTAACTCTATGAGGGTACTTTTTGTTAAAGCCTCTTTTAAAAGTGAAAATTACAGAGTTCAAACACCAAAACTCAGAAGTTGCAGTGTGACCAGGAGAGATACAGAACACACCCAAGTCTGATTTGGGAGCCTATTTAATCTGTAAAAACACCACCAGTTTCTCAGAGGATCAAGGTATTTCTGCAGGCACATTAGATTTTTCTTTCCATTCCAGATACCAACACATATTCCCAATGAAATATCAAATAGAATTACATAGAAGTAGAATTAAACTTTAAATTATAACTGCTAATCAAGATAAATTTTAAAAGTTCACATTAAAACCAAGTAATTCAACTCTCATTCTTCTGACAAAAGTATTTAGAAAAGGTGGAAAGACCAGAGTTCAGATTCTTTTCAACTACAGAAGCATAAAGAACATTTTAAATAGAATAGTCTCCTTAACACTATTCTCTTAATGAAGACACGTAAGCAAACAAAGATTGCATTCAAATGAAAAAACAGTTTTAAACTGTATTTTAAATTGAATGCTTGAATCCTGTAAAACAGACAAGAAGGAAGGAAGTAATTATCACTGGAGTGCACAACAGAATTTCGTCACCCACAAACTTATAAATGTATTTAAACACGGTTTGTAGTGTGGAAAACAACCACTGCATGAATTAATAAACTATAAAAGAAAGTTAAATCTACAGTACAGAAGAGCTTTCTGATGCAAGCTGAAGCCTTACAATAGTGGAAGTAACATTCATTTTCATTCCAAACTCCCTGTGAGCAAATACTAATTTTGAGAAAGAATGGAAAACATTTCCTTACCAACCACCATCAGAGTAAATTCAAACCCCTTTTTCACAGACTTCCGGTGAACCTGATTGGGAAGGTTTGCAAATCCAACATAGCCAGGGGTTTCTGGATTGGTAAACTGAGAAGGCTGTTGCTAAAAATCAAATAAAGTAAGAAAATAATAAGCATCACTCAAGACATACTTGTTTGTATAACTGCTTTTCTCAGTTATTTCAAATGGTTTGAAGCCATGTGCTATATAGAGAGAAAACTACACAGGTGATCCTACTACTCAACAGTTTCACAGTGAAGTACAGAACAACTGCATTCACCTACAGTTTAAAAAAAGAAGTTTAATTTATTCATCTATCCAGCCAAGATCACCTTAAGTAAAAAAGAAACAAAACCCCAAACATTTATTTAGCAAAGTATGAAGTGCATTCACTAATCACATACTTTTAAACAGTGTTGTTACACACATTTAAAATAAAAAAGCTTGTGTCCCATGTTTATGGACTGAAATAAAAAGATGACCATTTCTCATCTAGTTTTAGCATATCCAAGTGAAAACCCTGAAGGACCAGTGAAGTGAGAGCCATCTGCTAGAAGTCCTCCACAGAGAGCTCTTTTAAAGGGAGGGATTTACAGAACAGTATTTCAAATGTCCACTGCTACAAGTACTGCAGAGAAATCTCTAGATCTATTAGTTTCCCTCTTCAAAGTACCCTTTATCAGTCATATCACTCGAATAAGCTAACATGGATGTTCTACCCATCATACTAAATGCAGGGCATTGAGAATTAGATGAATCCCAGCACATCAATAATATCTTAAGTTACCACATTGTTTATGAAGGATTTTACCGGAAGACCTCTTGACTTTATTAGTAAATGAAGAAATTAAATCTAAGAAGATCCTTTTCTTAAATAATTCCTGCTCAAAAACACAGTAGCAGAATGGAAGTTTCAATGAAAATGCACCAGGGAGCTTGTATGCCACTCCATAACCAAAATTAAATCCTTCCAAGAATATTAGTTAACTGCAGAGAAAAAGATTTATACTTGTAGGAAACTTGCAGAGGTTTATACTTGTAGGAAATTACTTTAATATATGTTTTACATCACTCAGTCTTTCAATATTATGTCTTCTAAATGTGAATTCTCTCTTATATATAACCCATAAATTTAGCATACACATCACCATCAAACACGATGCAAGTTATACTTTGTTTTTAAATATTAATCCGCAAGGAATGTATCTGTTTCACATTGTTACACTGAAGGATAAAAATGTTCTTCTTACCTTGGACATTTTTATGGAAGGTCAGGAACAAATCTGGAAAAAAAAAAAAAGGTTTTCAGCTTATTAAAAATTGTTCAAGAAAAAAAAAAACAACCCAAACCACAAACCAATATAATAACTGGTCTGGCACACTAAAATTTAAAAAGCATGGACGGATTGGATGCCCAGATTTTGAAACAGTGTCTATTGCTTCACAGCAGTACAGGTGTGTGACTCTTTGGTATTAACGAGGGCACTGTTCCTATTAACATAATTGGACAATAAATTCAAGCAACATGAACGTGGGGTGCTAAAGGCACAAGATGTATGACAAACCATTTTGAAGTCTCAAAGAGAAAAGTTCACATCCTTTCCGGAAGCTAACCAAACTAAACACACTGCTTGAAGACATCTTACTATTTACAGGAAACGGTTTTTTCAAAGCTCAAAAAAACAACTCATGTATTATTGGGTTTTTTTTAAGCCTCCTTCCCCTCAACATTTCCTTTTGTGCTCAAGTGTTCTGTGAAGAGTTCATAGCTTCAAAATGTCAAACTTCTCTCATCTTCTTCTGCTGGGATGCTTGCAAACTCAGTCATTTTAACTTCTGCTGCCAAGATAAGATTTTCACATGCAGCTTTGTCACTTTGAGATACAAAACAGACAAGAAAAAAAATTTTTTAAAAAAATATCTCTTATTTAATACTTTGATGCAAAAAAGTCTCTTGACAAAGACCTGCCAACATAATAAAAATATCTCTCATTTAATACTTTGATGCAAAAGTCTCTTGACAAAGACCTGCCAACATAAGAGAACTGCTACCACACTAACTTGCACGAGTTGAAGAGATTATATAACTTATGCTGGCAATATAAAAATGTCAGCATACACCGTATCTTCAAGGGATGAGTGCTACAAGTCCTCTTTCTAGTTCCTCCCCTGGCTTGCCCTCTAACCAAAAAGATATCTGTTCCCACTCACAAAGCCCATATGCCACAGCCACCTCTTATCTCTCCAGCTCACTCTCACTTTCATTCTACGGATTGGAAATTATCACCATCCAATTCCTTCCATCTTCCAAGGAGATTTTTGTCCTTGAGTTCAGCTTCCTGTGAAATTACACCAAACTGCTTCATCGCATAGCACAGTCTGTCCCTCCCATCAAAAAGCCATCTTGAAGTGCAAGCAAACTGCCAAGTGTCAGACAGATTGGAGCCCAACCTTTGTTGTGCTGGGCAGAAGGTGAAGTTGTTTTCAAATTGGTTATAATTTCCAGCAGCTATGGCATTTGCTTCTGGATGTGCAACCTCCACATATATAGGTGCAGCTTCCTTTACGTTTATTAAAATGCAATTTTTTTTCTCTCACCATCATTACTTCACTGTTAATAGTTGCCAAGCTGCTTTTTTTTTTTCCCCCCAACAATAAGGAAGAGGTCAGTTTTGAGGAAGGCTTTTTGATTGAAGGACAGACTAAAGGTGATAAAAACTGAAACAATTTGGTGGCATTTCACATGAAGCTGAACTTGCTGACAAAAATCCTGCATCCTGATTACACACAGGGAATAAAAACTGAGCAACATGCTTCCCAAGTGAAACTTCATGCTAAAAATAAAATCCAGTATCTGCAATGTCTGTATTTCAGTAAAGAAGCTGATCTATGACCTATGAAGTATTCCACAACTGGAAGGGTTATTTGTAAGACTTTTATCATCACGCAAGATTGCTCTGATAGCAACTCTTCCAAGAGAAGTGATGTCATTGATCCCTCCTGCTTAACTATTCTCCATGAGAGATTTTCAACACCAACCAAATCTAGATCCTGCTAGAATGCAGAAAAACATTCTTTTAATTCACGAGGCTTGTCTGTCACCCAACTATTTCTCAGAGGCAGGGTAAGAGCATAGGAAAGTTTCTCACAGCTACCAAGAAACAAAGGAGAACTATTTATGCAGACGGCTGCAGTTAAATTATGTTTTAACAGATGGACCAAGCACCAAAGTCTTTCATGAAGAAGGCTGTTTCCCATGGCATGCCCTTCAGGGCAGCGGCAGTCCAGACTTTCCTCTGGAGCTGGTCAATCATGTTCCTTACCCTCCGGTTTCAACAACCAGGCTGCAGTTTTCTACCAGAGCGTCTTGTGCAGCCATGCAAACGGCACCGGGGGGACAACCTCCACCCCTTTGGGAAGGGGGAACCGCATCTCCCAGGCCCTCCCGTCGGCGGGGCGGGCAGGGCGCTGCCCGGCCTTTGCTACAGCCCCATCGGCCCGCTTCCTCCTC